AAAACTTTTCACTGATAGAAATAATATCCAAAAACATTTTCTTAAATATTAAATAAAAGGTGGGGAATAGTGGAACCAACTAATGGTTGAAGACCTAAAAACAACACATTTTATATTTCAAAAGCGGAAATCCTGAGTAGAACCTGTCTGATATCTGTTAGATGTATTCGAACTATCTATGGTTTTGCTGTGTTTTTTACATTTTTCGAATTCAGTGGAAGAAAAGAGGTATAGATTGGATCAGTAAGTATTGAAAAAAAAAATAAATAAAATCACCAAGTTGCTTTTTTCCTTTTGTTTTTTGAAAAAAAAAAAACTTGATTTTAAGTTATTTTAGTCTTCAGCAATTGTCACAAATTACCTAATTCTCTGTTACAAATTTTAGAAAGTAACTTTTTTAAAAATATTTAATTTTCAAATGTTTGAAATCAGATTTTTTGCGCTGGAATCCTTGCAGTGTAAATTTTTATAAAATAAGCATGTTGATCAGTAATTTATTCGAGATCAGTCAAACGATAGTTCATATCAGCGTTTTCAGATTTTAAAAAAAGATGAAATCAAATCTGAAGTTTATAATGCTATCTTAAAAAGTATTATCACTTTTCCAACAATATTCATGTTGCCTTTATAAACATTTATTCATTTCAAGTAATAATTACAAGCTTCAACCTTCGATTTTATTTTATCCTTATTTTTTAAAACAATTTTTGTCACATATTGACATTATTAATTTGACAATATCATTTCATCACCGATAATTCAACTTCCCATCCTCTCACATATTACTTAAAAGTAATCAAATTTTTGGCAGCAACAAAACATTTGAAATGAAAATTGCGCATCATTTATGCTCTCTACCAATTGGTGTATGAGTTTTAGATAATTGTCATAAAAATTACTCCTTAATATCCATGAAATTTTTCATCTTTGATTATATTTCAATGTTTTGATTTCAGATACAACTTATTTCAAATGAATCTCTCCATATATATTATCATTTTGGCTTGCTTTGGCTTCTTTTTTCGAAGAAAAAGAAATTGCTGAGAAAGAAACCCTTATTATCAATGAAAATAAAAAGTAAACAAAGTAATAATAAAATTTTTTTTACAATACAATTTCATTCATAAACAAAGTAAAAATTTTCTACAATTACAATAATAATTTCATTCATTAATATAATTTTTATTTTTCGATTTTTTTTCTTTTTAAGATCACTGATATAAAGTATTATTTGAGTAATCTCACATGGCTTATTGATATTATTACTGCTTTTGTAATTAGTAAAATTCCAAATTACATAATTTAAATTGGATCATACACTATTATTCAAAAATTATAGAGAAATTCTAAAAAAAAAAAAAAAAAAACAAATAATTTAAGGCTAACATTGAAGAATCATTTATATTCTCCTATTTCCACTTTATCAGATTAACAGTATTTGCCATCAATAACAGCGATTTTTCATCCAAAATAAATAATCTTCCATCTTCCATTGTGTCATAATTCATCAGTGTTACTGCAATCGTTGTATAGAAATTCTTTTTTGTTTTTTTAAATTATCTTTTAATTATTTAAATTCATTATTTCGTTAATAAAAAGAAGCTCATGTATCGAACTAAAAAGAATTATTAAATTAAATCTTCTCGAAATCATTAAAAATTAAATAATGCCTAAATTAATTCTTGGTGAAATAAACATACATTCTTCTACTTGTTTTGTCTCCATTATTATGCCATCATCCCATAACTTATCAGCTTTATGATCTATGATAAGATCAGCGGCTGAAATTGGTGCTGAGATTATCCCATTAAGATTAAATAACAAGCTATCACTTCAAATTATCAGTCATAAATTAGTCCTTTGAAGTTTTATTTTCCACTTCTTCGAATTTCTTTTTCGCAAAGAATTACAGTAATATTTTTTTTTAATTGATTAAGCTGTTATTTCATTTTAATTATTCGTTGTTGTGTGTTGTCATTGTTGGTATTGCAAAAATGCATTTCACTAGCATTCGAAATGAAATTACTTTCATAATAAATGCTGTTTTGTCTAAGTAAAAGTTTTGGAACGATTGAGAATGAGCGAATTACATATTAAAATTTGTATCTCATTTGGAAGTGAAATAAAATAATAGGTGAAAAGTGAGAAGCTGTTTGATACCTGCCATTCGGTTTCTTTGGTTAGCAGCTCTGCCACAATATATGATGAAAGCAAGATACACTATCAATTTTGACATATTTGAAATTAGTTTTATTGCAACTTCAATATTTCCTGAAGTGCTGATTTTATTTTATTCTAATTTTAACTTCGGTATTTTTTACATAGTCAGATCCAAAACGGTTTTAAATGTTTTATAAAATGCTCAGTGGGAGACTTGATAGATGATTTATCTTTCAATTTCTACATCATTCTTGATTCTGTCCCTAAATGGAAGACATGAAATGATTTAATTAACGTTCATTTATAAGCAATCATTCATTTTTTATGAACACATTCAAATTAAAAAAAATACATTCAATTAAACACACATTTAATGCATTCAATTAAAACTTGAACACACATAGCAGAATAAATCTGCTAATGTTTGCAATATGCATGACATAGCTCAGATGCATTTACAAAAACAGTAATCAAAATAATCATCTGAATAGTAAATAATAAATTGTTCAAGTTAATTGTCACCCAGTTATCAAGCACTGCACTCGTTATTAATTGTTATTATTGACAACAACTGATTACAGTGAATTATTAATAATGCGAATTTAAATTTTATATTGCTTCGAGCACGATTTAACACAGGAAATTTTCAGTGATAGAAATAACTTAAATATTGAAAAAAGTGGAGATGGTGGAACCGATTAGTGGTTGAAGACCTGAAATCAACACTTTTTATACTTCAAAAGCGGAATTCCTGAGTAGAACCTGTCTGATATCTGTAGATGAGATGATCTGATATCTGTAGATGTATTCAAACTACTTATGTTTTTGCTGTGATTTTTACATTTCTCGAATTCAGTGGAAGAAAAAAAAGGATAGATTGAATCGAGTAAGTAATCAAAAAAAGATAACGGATTTTAAACCACCAAGTTGTTTCTTTTTTATGAAAAAAGAACTTGATTTTAAGTTATTTTAACCTTCAGCAATTGTCACAATTTATCAGTAATTCTTTGTTATAAATTATAGAAAGTAGCTATTTATGAAAACACTTAACATCTAAAATGTCTCAAGTCAGATTTTTCTTTCTCTGGAATTCTTGTAATTCGAATTTTATAAGATGAGCAAATAGATCAATGAATCATCGGAGATTAGTCAAATGATAGTTCATATCAGTGTTTTCGAATTGAAAAAAAAAAAGTTAAAATGAAATCTGAAGTTTATAATGCTAGCTTAGAAAATACTATTACTTTTCGTATAATATTCATGCTGCCTTTTAGATAGATTTATCTATTACAACTAATGATCGATACGTATTTCAATTTTCGATTTTATTTTATCATTATTTTGTTTAAACAATTTTGTTATCAGTATCAATTTTACAAATGAAAAGTACATTGCACCATAAACATTTTGTCACATATTGGTAACATTATGTTGACATCATTGTCAACGAAATACACGCAGAATCTTGCAGATGTCAAATGTATTCACCATGTAACATCATCTGACTGTAATCCTTCCATTTATCTTCTGAAAAGTTCATTTTATGTCAATATTTTCAACTTTTGTTTCATGAAATAATCTTCATTTAAACTACCTTAAAAGTTTACTTTGGCTTATCTTCCATTCATCTTAAATTTATTCAAATTTTATTTACTTTTAATTAATTATACATTAAAGCAAATCATTTATATTACAAATCATTGATAGTACATCGTAATTTTGTAGAAAATTAATAAATTAAGTGAGATAATGATAACTGATTTCGTTTATGCATATCCGAAAGCACGAACTAAGGAATGAAATTATTAATGATAAATTGCTACATAATTTCAAGTAAAAATTCTTTACAAACAAAAATAATTACATTTATTAATATTTTTCTTTATTTTTTGTTTTTTGAAAACATTTATTTATTTATTTTTTGAAACATTGAAAAAAAAAGTTTATTCTTGAAAACATTTTTCTTGAAAAAATCACATGACACATGAAACACTGACGTCAACACTGCTTTTGTAATTAATAAAAAAAAAACTACGTGTTCAAATTATAAAATTTAAATTACGACGACTTCACAGAAAAAAATTTGATTTTAGACATTTAAAAAGAAGAAATATTTTTAAAAAATAGTTATTGTCAATAATTCGTAACAAAAGATTACTGATAAATTGTGATAATTGTTGATGATCTACATATATCAGACAGGTTCCACTCAGGAATTCCGCTTTTGAAGTATAAAAAGTGCTGTTTTTAGGTCTTCAACCATTGGTCGGTTCCACCATTCTTCACCTTTTTTTTCAATATTTAAGAAAATACTTTCGAATATTATTTTTAGCTACATCAATGAGAATTTCTTTTCCTGAGTAATGTAAAACAATAAGTTGACATATTTGGGAATTTTTTTTTTTTTTGTATTAATAATGAGCTATGAGAATAAATTTGTGAAATTAATAACAAGCGCAGTGTTTGAAATGGTGACAGTTAACTTCAACAATTAAACTGCTGATTATTCAAATTCTTTTTTAATTACTGCTTTCCTAAATGCATGTAAATGCGTCTCGGCTATTTTATGCATGCTGCAGAATTAGCAGACCAATATAAAAACTGCATTATAGATAAAAGAATGATAGTGTAAACAAACAATCATCAATTAAATAATTCAACTTTTTTGTATAAGGAAAAAACCAAGAGTAATATTAAAATTGATGAGCATTTCATAAAACAATAAAAAGTTTCGGATCCTACAGCTTTGAAATAACACCGTAATCAAAATTAAAATGTATCAATAAAGTGAAATCAGCACTTTAGGGAATATTAAAGTTGCGATAAAACTAATTTCAAATATGTCAAAGTTGATAGTGTTTCTTGCTTTCATCATTTATTGTAATCGGCAACAAAACGCTCAAGCAGGAGGAGCAGCAGCAGCAGGAGGAGCAGGTATACATCTCTCTTTAAGTAAAATGAAAATCCCGATATATATCTCGTATTCTAGACCATTTTAACTACTTTAGGAAATATTGAAGTTGCGATAAATCTAATTTCAAATATTTCAAAGCTAAATTTCGGATAAAACAGGCAGCACTCGGTTTCAATTCGAATATCACTGACATTCACTTTTTTAGTGGAAACAACAAATTACCATTTCAAATCTCCAAAGTCTCGACCTCTTCTGTAATTTTAATCAAATAATCACTGGTACAATTTTCAGCCGCTGAGATAATCACAGATTATAAAGCTGGCAAGCTATGGGATGATGATTTATTAATGGAGACAACGCAAGTAGAAGAAGGTATGTTCAATTCACCAAGAATTAATTTAGGCATCATTTAGTTTTGAATGACTTCAAGGAGATTTAATTTGATAATTCCTTTCAGCTCCATTTTCTGGCTTCTTTTTATTAAGATAGGAATGAATTTGAATAATTTCAATACAATGATTGCAGCAACACTGACGAATTGTGACACAATGGAAAATGGAGGATTATTTATTTTGAAAGAAAAACCGTTGCTATTGATGGCAAATACTGTTAACTTGAAATGGAATTAGGAAACTGTAAATGTGCAATGTGCAAGTGATTAAAGATTGATTAAATATCACATTTCAATTTATTGAGAAGATTAATAAAAGAAGTCGGAAAAAGGTGAATCAAGCGAAAATTTTAATATTTTACAGCAAAAATAAATAACAAAGATTAAACATATTGTTGATTATTATTCTTCAGTTATTAGCCTTCCAAATTATTCATTTTTTTTTTACTTTTCTACATTCTCCAATTAATATCAAGAAAGCTTTCTAAATAGTATGTAAATGTTTTTGCTGTTATCATAACTGCACAGATTTGTTGTTCTTTTGCAATATCGTATTTGTAGAATAATAGGAAAAAATAAATTAAATATAGAATTATACCAATAGTCCATCAAAGTATGTGCTAAGTTGTAGTACTTTCGTTCTGCACTAATTGCTAGTACTGTGTGCGCAAATAGAATCGAATCGAACCTTAAAACATTGGGCTTATGACAAAATGCGTGACAGTGAGTAAGGAGCTGTCATTATCGATTGAACGATCTTTACTCTTTACATAGTAGAAGTTCGCTCTTAACATTGCATATAATGTCAGTTGCTTATAAGTGTGACTGTCAGATCAAAAGACTTCTGGAACAATTCAATTCGTCATTGCAAATCGATTTGGTTTATTGAAGAAAGAGCGGTCAGATTGGAAAGTCTTAACAATAAAATTGGGAACAATATTCAACACACTTAGCAATGCACATGTTATTTGTTAACATGGCCGTTCCAGAAGAATAAAATAAATTAAAATGAAGTTTTTATTCGAAAAAAAACGATTTAATGATTAAAAATCTGTTTTATCCGACTCAATCTATCTCTTTTTTCTTCCACTAAATTCAAGAAAAGTAAAAATTACAGCAAAAACATAGGTAGTTTGAATACATCTAACAGATATCAGACAGGTTCTATTCAGGAATTCCGCTTTTGAAGTATAAAAAGTGTTGTTTTTAGGTTTTCAACCATTAGTTGGTTCCACTATTCCCCATTTTTTTCAATATTTAAGAAAATAGTTTTAGATATCATTTCTATCAGTGGAAATTCCCTGTGTTAAATCATGCTCGGAAATCTAAAATAAATTTGTTGTCTTAATAATATTTTGTATTACTTCAAATTTGCTGTTTAATAATTCAATGTATTAGTAAATGAGTTATGAAAACAAATTTACTAAATTAATAAAAATTAAACAATTTGTCGACTATTCAATTTTTTTTTTACCTTGTTTTCAAGAATGACATGGAAATTTAACGACAAAATATCAATTAAACCTTGAGTTGAGCATTTCATAAAACGATTAAACTGTTTCGGATCAGTTTGTGTCGGAATAATTCCGTAGCTGATTCATTAAAAAATTTTAGTAAAGTGAATTTTTTAACAAATATCAAGGTTTCAATAAACTAAACTTGAAAATGACAAAATTGGTAGTATATCTTGCTTTTATCATCTTTTGTGGTAATCAGGGACAAAACGTACGACGAGCAGCAGCAGGAGGAGTAGGTATGCATCACTTTTTAAGTAAAATAAAAATCTCAGTATTTACATCGCATTATATATCATTTTAACCATTTTAGTCAGATTTTTGATAAAACAGTAAGTATTCGATTTCAATTCGAATATCACTGACATTCGTTTTTGTAATAGAAACAAATATTATCATTTCAACTTTTATGTAATTTCAATCAAATAATTGCTATCATCAATTTCAGGCGCTAAAATTGTCACAGATTATAAAGCTGACAAGTTATGGGATGATGATTTATTAATGGAGACAACGCAAGTACAAGAATGTATGTTCATTCCACAAAAAATTAATTTAGGCATTATTTAATTTTGAATGATTTCAAGGAGATTTAATTCCATAATTCCTTTCAGTTCCATTTTCTGGCTTCTTTTTATTAAGAAAGGAATGAATTTGAATAATTATTTCATACAATGATTGCAGCAATAATGACGAATTGTGACACAATGAAAGATGGAAGATTATTTATTTTGGATGAAAAACCGTTGTTATTGATAACAAATAGTGTTAATTTGATGAATTTATAACAAAGAAGAATAAAATAAATTAAAATGAAGTTTTTATTCGAAAAAAAGCGACTTGGTGATTTAAAATTTGTTTTATCCGACTCAATCTATCTCTTTTTTCTTCCACTGAATTCGAAAAATGTGAAAATCACAGCAAAAATATGTGGTTGAATACATCTACAGATATCAGACAGGTTCAACATAGGAATTCCGCTTTTGAAGTATAAAAAGTGCTGTTTTTAGGTCTCGAACCATTATTTGGTTCCACTATTCCCCACCTTTTATTTAATATTTAAGAAATTGCTTTTGGATATTATTTCTATCAATGAAAAGTTTTCCAAAGAAATACAAATGAAATAAATAATGACTTTCTGTGTTTTTGCCGATGAAAATGAATTTGGTCAATATTTATCACTTAATTTGACTCATTTACTGATTTCAGTAACTAAGAACAGAAAAGATTAAGAATGAAATAAGTGTCAAATTAATGCTGTAATTTATTAATTAATCAGTTTTAATGATGATTTTAGCCCATATTCCACAACAAAACAAATAGATTCCAAAATTTGCGGTGGAATTATAAAAATCTTGTAATTTTGGATAAGAATGGCTCAGAATTTGTTTTCAAAATTTCACTTGAAGATATTTCAGAGAAGAAAGTTTGATTTCGGATATTTCAAAATTAAATATTTAGAGCAAATAGTTATTTTTGTTCAATTTATGATAAAAGATTACTGATAGATTGTAATCGCTGGAGAACAAAACAATTTAGTGGTTAGATGTTCGTTTTTCCTTTTTTTCGGTCATATTCAGTCCTTCATTTTTCTTTCTTCTATTCAAAAGAGAGTGACACCTGCAATATTAAACAGGTTATGCACAGGATCGCAAAGTATAAAAAGCGCAGTTTGTAAATCTTCAATGTTCGTAATTCATTTTTTTTTCAAACTTTAAGGAACTATTCGTGGATACTGTATCTATCATTAAGTAATTTGTTCGCTAAATCTTGATCTCTCCTGACATAAATACAAAAATTATTTGGCATTTAAAAATAAATTCACTATATTACAATGAGCTATGAAATTGAAATCCGCTAGTAGTCACTGAAGTAACTTTCCGAATAGCAATTCCCTTAGCTTTATGTTAAATGCCATTGTAATGCAGTAAATTTATTCATGCTAAAATTGTTGAAATGAACGAAATTTTAAAATAAAATCATTCATTCGATGATCGAAAGCGGTTCAGATCAGATCGTATTGAAATGATATCGTAGCTGATCGATAAAAAATATTAATAAGGTGGAATCTGCACTTTAGCAAATATCAAAGTGGCGATAAAACTACGAAAATGGCAAAGTTGATAGTGTGTCTTGCTTTCGTCATCTGTTGTGGCCAAAATATGATACAGCTACAAAATATGCAAGCAATGGCTGCAGGAATAGGTATGCATCTCCTTTTAAGTAAAATTATAATTTTTATATCTTGTATTCTACATCATTTAAACCGCTTTATTCAAGATTTTTGATAAAACGGAAAGAGAAAATGATTTCAATTCGAATGCCAGCGACTCACTTTTGAATCTCAAATGTTTCCTCCTCGCCTATAAGTTTAATCAAATAATCTCTAGCACCAATTTCAGTCGCTGATATTATCACAGATTATAAAGCTGAAAAGTTGTGGGATGATGACTTACTAATGGCGACAACACAAGTAGAGGAATGTATGTTCATTTCACAAACAATTAACTTAGACACTATCTTTTAAGTGATTTCAAGGAGATTTAATTTGATAAATCCTTTTAGTTCCATTCGTTGGCTTCTTCTTATTAAGAAAGGAATGAATTTGAATAATTATTTTAATACAATGATTGCAGCAACATTGACGAATTGTGACACAATGGAAAATGGAGGATTATTTATTTTGGAAGAAAAACCGTTGTTATTGATGGCAAATACTGTTAACTTGATGAAATGGAATTAGGAAACTGTAAATGTGCAAATGATTAAAGATGATTAAAATCACATTTAAATGTATTGAGAAGATCAGGCTGTTAATAAAAGAAGTCGGAAAAAGGTATATCAAACGAAAAAAAAAAGGAAAACATTAGAATCAGATTATTTGCAAATTTATTTTAAAACAAAAATGAATAACAAAGATTAAACATATTGTGGATTGTTATTCTTCAGTTGTTAGCCAAATTATTCAAATTTTTTCTTACTTCTCTATATTCTCCAATTAGTATCAAGAAAGTTTTTTAAGTATTACATAAATGATTTTGCTGTTATCATAACTGCACAGATTTATTGTTCGTTTACAATATCGTATTTATACAACAATAGGGAAGAAATTAATAATTTAAATACAGAATTATACCCATAGTCCATTAAAGTATGTGCTAAGTTGTCGTACTTTCGTTCTGCACTTATTGCTACTACTACGCCATTCATTGCCTTTTGAACTGAGTGCGCAAAAGTCAATTGAATCAAATCGAATCGGACCTAAAAATACTCTGAGAAATGATCTAAACTTTTCATCTAGTGGACATCAACAAAGCGCGTGACAGTGGGTCAAAAGCTGATGAATGATGATCTTTACTCTTCACATAGTAGAAGTTTGTTTTTAACATTTCATATAATGTCAATAAACTTTGGATTTGATTTTGACTTATTTTTTTCTTCGTCTTAGAAAACACTGATGCATTGTTTGAAATTTTTGATGTTAAATTGCTTTTGTTATTAACAAAAAATATAATAAAAAAAATTCCACATGTTCAAATTTTAATATCTAAATTGCAAATATTTCAAAGCAAAAAGAAAATTTGAATTTAGACATTTAAAAGTTAGACATTTTCAAAAGTAGTCATTGTATATGATTTATAACAAATTGTGACAATTGCTAAAGAATAAAATAACTTAAAATCAAGTTTTTTCTGATAAAAATACCTGATGAATAAAAATCCATCCTTTTCATTATTTATCCGATTTAATCTATCCTTTGTTTTTCTTCCACTGAATTCGAGAAATATGAAAATCACAGTAAGAACATAAGTATTTGAATGCATCTAACAGATAGACAGGTTCTACTCAGGAATTCCGCTTTTGAAGTATAAAAAGTGTTGTTTTTAGGTCTTCAACCACTAGTTGGTTCCACCATTCCCCACTTTTTTTCAATATTTAATAAAATAGTTTTAGATATTATTTTTATCAGTGAAAATTCCCAGTGTTAAATAATGCTCCGAGCGATATCAAATTTAAAATAAATTTGTTGTATTAATAATCCTTTGTTTTACTTCTTCCTACTGCATTAGTATTAAAAATGAGTTATGAAAATGAATTTCTTAAGTCAATAGCAAGCGTAATGCATGATGTGGTGACAGTTAACTTGAACTTTTAATTGTTGAATAATCGAATTGTCTTTTGATTACTCTGAAATGCATTTGAGCTGTTTCATGCATGCTGTAAACATTAGCAGGCTAATACAGTAACTGTATTATATGTAAAAGAATGACAGCATAAACCGTATAGTGATAAAATCACGAATGATATGGAAATTGAAAGATAAATCCTCTTTAAGCCTTCAGCTCAGCTTTTCATAAAACCAGTTAAAACGTTTGAGATCCGATGAGTTATAATAATAGTACTGCTGCAATTAAAATATATGAATGAAGTAAAACTTACATTTCAGGAAATATTGAAGTTGCAATAAATTTAATTTCAAATATGTCAAAATTGATAGTGTATCTTGTTTTCATCATTTATTGTGCTAATCAGGGAGGAGGAGGAGGAGCAGGAGCAAGAGGAGGAGCAAGAGGAGTAGGTATGCATCACTTTTTAAGTAAAATGAAAATCTCGATATACATATATTCATTTTAACCACTTAGATTTCTAATAAAACAGGCTGGGTTCGATTTCACTTTTGCAGTGAAAAGAGTATATCATTTAAAATCTCAAAGATTTCTACTTATAATCAAATAATCGCTAGCATCAATTTCAGCCGCTGAAGTTGTCACAAATTATAGAGCTGACAAGTTATGGGATGATGACTTATTAATGGAGACAACGCAAGTAGAAGAATGTATGTTCATTTTATAAGGAATTAACTTAAGCATTGTTTAATTTTGAGTGATTTCAAGATGATTTAAGATGAATTTGACAATTCCTTTTAGTTCGATTCGTAGACTTCTTTTTATTGAGGAAAGTATGAATTTAAATAATTAAAAAAATTATTTAATAACTAAAAAATAATTTAAAAAAGAGAAAATCTCTATACAACGATTGCAGCAACATTGACGAATTGTGACACAATGGAACATGGAGGATTATTTATTTTGGAAGAAAAACCGTTGTTATTGATGGCAAATACTGTTAACTTGATGAAATGGAATTAGGAAACTGTAAATGTGCAAATGATTAAAGATGATTAAAATCACATTTAAATGTATTGAGAAGATCAGGCTGTTAATAAAAGAAGTCGGAAAAAGGTATATCAAACGAAAAAAAAAAGGAAAACATTAGAATCAGATTATTTGCAATTTTATTTTAAAACAAAAATGAATAACAAAGATTAAACATATTGTGGATTATTATTCTTCAGTTATTAGCCTTCCAAATTATTCACTTTTTTTTTACTTTTCTACATTCTCCAATTAATATCAAGAAAGCTTTCTAAATAGTATGTAAATGTTTTTGCTGTTATCATAACTGCACAGATTTGTTGTTCTTTTGCAATATCGTATTTGTAGAATAATAGGAAAAAATAAATTAAATATAGAATTATACCAATAGTCCATCAAAGTATGTGCTAAGTTGTCGTACTTTCGTTCTGCACTAATTGCTAGTACTGTGTGCGCAAATAGAATCGAATCGAACCTTAAAACATTGGGCTTATGACAAAATGCGTGACAGTGAGTAAGGAGCTGTCATTATCGATTGAACGATCTTTACTCTTTACATAGTAGAAGTTCGCTCTTAACATTGCATATAATGTCAGTTGCTTATAAGTGTGACTGTCAGATCAAAAGACTTCTGGAACTATTCAATTCGTCATTGCAAATCGATTTGGTCTCTAACAAAAGACACACATGGAACGCGGAATTTTCAGTTCATTGCACAATCTCTCCCTCCCGGAGAGCTCTTGTTACTACAGAAGATTGTTCTCTTTGAGTTCTTTCTCGAAGTCTGGTCAAATACTTATTTTTCCTTGTATTCCAAGGATGTTTGATCAGTACTTAATAAGTTTCTCTTTGTTATTTGGTTTGTGTGATGAAAATTCTGCGGGGGTCATTATCGTTAAAGATTGGAACATTGAGGGAAGCGTTAGGTGAAACGAAATCAGTTCAGCGTATGATTAAACAATCTTCAAAATTTACGTAAGTCAGTGGACGTAATCTCTTTCTACTATTAGTGTTATCAATTCATGTTCTCATAACAACTTTCTACCAATGGCTTTCCTCATTGTCTTTTTGGTTATTTCAATCATTCTTTCATAAACTGTATCATCCTATGAAACTCTTGGTATGGCTTCTTTTTTTTTTAAATATTTCTTTATTTGCTAAGAATTCTGTTAGTTGTGCATTTCGTTCCATAATGGTATGAAAACCAATTGAACGATTCTGCTTAATAAGTGCAAAAAATCTTCGGACGACAGATTTTCTACTAATTCTAATCTCGATATGAAGAGTGCCATCTATCTTTTGATATTGGCAAATCTGAGTTTTAATAAAAAGCGGACCGACATAATCGATTCCAATGAATTCTGCTTGATGTGCTTAAAAATAATTTTGTTTAATTCATTGTGATTTGAAATAAATTCTCTAATGTTCATTGAGGCTTCTTTGAAGATACATTTAGTTTCTTCGTGTTTTCTTAGCTATGATGTAACATTGTCAATGTAATATTCCATTTTGCATAATTATTATATTCCACTTTAATTTTCTCTATCCTTAGCCATTGAAATAAAAAATGAATCAAGTTGAGATGGTAAATATTTAACAATTTTATTTTTATCTTGGACACGATGAAAACACAAAAAATCCATCATTTTTTAATTTGTGTTTTTTTCTTAATTCTTTGCTTCATTATTAATTAATTTATTATTATTTGCCGATTATTCATTATTTATTGCTCTAATTTTCGTTCTTAACAACAATTAGAATTAATAATTTGTTCATCCATTATAATTAATAAAAATTATTAATAATTACGGTAAGCAAATCTCGTGTGACACTTCGAACAGTTATACAGCAGTACCTTACTACAACTAAAATATCATCCACTGATCAGTTTTTAAAGTCTTTTACTAGAAAAAATGGCAGTCTTTAAAAATTTTTCAAATGGATGGAGCAATAGTTTAGTGTTGTAATTTTATACACAAGAAAAAACATAATGCTATTAATTCCGAGTTGTTGATCATTTCTGTTATGAAATAAAATTTCAAATTGTCCATTTTTATCAGTTCCAACCATAAATTTTTTTTGCCGATTTTCCTTTTCGGATTTCTTTTATTAACAACTCGATGTTTTCAATTTATTGAAATGTGACCGTCAATCACTTGCATATTTACATTCTCCTCAATTCAATTTATCAGATTAACAGTGTTTGTCATGCAATAGCAGCGGTTTTTCTTCCAAAATAAATAATCTTCCATCTTTCATTGACGAATTGTGATTCGTCAATGTTGCTGCAATCGCTGTATTAAAATAATTATTCAAATTCATTCCTTTCTTAATAAAAAGAAGCCGACGAATGGAACTAAAAGGATTTATTAAATTAAATCTCCTTGAAATCATTCAAAACTAAATGATGCATAAGTTAATTCTTTGAGAAATAAACATACATTTCTCTACTTGTGTTGTCACCATTAGTAACTCATCATCCCACAACTTTTCAGCTTTATAATCTGTGATAACATCAGCGACTGAAATTGATGCTATGAATTATTTGATTAAAATTACAGAAGAAACAGGAACTTTTCAGACTTGAAAGTGACAGGTGGCATCCGAATTAAAATCACTTTCCTGTTTTATTAAAAATCTTGGATAAAGCGGTTCAAATGATGTAAAATACGAGTTATAAAGATCTTCACTTTACTTAAAAAGAGATTCATACCTATTCCTATTCTCATTCCTTGTGCGTTTTGTTGCTGATTAGCAGCTCTGCCACAATATATAATGAAAGCAAGATACACTATTTGCCATTTTCGTAGTTTTATCGCCACTTTGATATTTGCTAAAGTGCAGATTCCACCTTATTAATATTTTTTATCGATCAGCTACGATATCATTTCAATACGATCTGATCTGAATCGCTTTTGATCATCGAATGAATAATTTTATTTTAAAATTTCATTCATTTCAACAATTTTAGCATGAATAAATTTGCTGCATTACAATGGCATTTAACATAAAGCTAAGGGAATTGCTATTCGGAAAGTTACTTCAGTGACTACTAGCGGATTTCAATTTCATAGCTCATTGTAATACAGTGAATTTATTTTTAAATGCCAAATAATTTTTGTATTTATGTCAGGAGAGATCAAGATTTAGTGAACAAAATATTTAATGATAGATACAGTATCCACGAATAGTTCCTTAAAGTTTGAAAAAAAAATGAATTACGAACATTGAAGATTTACAAACTGCGCTTTTTATACTTTGCGATCCTGTGCATAACCTGTTTAATATTGCAAGTGTCACTCCCTTTTTCCTATTTCTGAAGTTGAATAGAAGAAAGAAGAAAGGAAGAGAAAAAAGGAAAAAAAAAACTTCTAACATTAAGCTATTTTGTTTTACAGTGATCACAATCTCTCAGTAATCTATTATCATAAATTGAGCAAAAATAACTATTTGCTCTAAATATTTAATTTTGAAATATCCGAAATCAAACTTTCTTCTCTGAAATATCTTCAAGTGAAATTTTGAAAACAAATTCTGAGCTATTCTTATCCAAAATTACAAGATTTTTATAATTCCACCGCAAATTTGAAATCTATTTATTTTATTATGGAATATGGGCTAAAGTCATCATTAAAACTCATCAATTAATAAATTACAGTATTAATTTGTCACTTATTTCATTTTTAATCTTCTCTGTTCTTAGTTATTGAAATCAATAAATGAGTCAAATTAAGTGATAAATATTAAGCAAATTCATTTTCATCGACAAAAACACAGGAAGTCATTATTTATTTCATTTGTGTTTCTCTGGTCAAGTTCTTTGTTAATTAATTTATTAACGATTTTCATTATTTATTAATTATTGTTGCTAATTTTTGATTTCGTCTACGATGACTACCTTATTAATTATAATTAATAAAAAAATATTGATAATTACAAGTAATGAACAAGTTTACATCAGTTCAGATAGCTATACAGCCGTAGTTACTGCCGATATCACCCATTGCTTTTTTGAAGTTTTTTTCACAAAATAGTAATGTTTCTATAATTTTTCCAATGGAAGGTTAATAGTTTAGTTTAAATTTTTCTGTAAACATGAAAACATAGTAGAATAAATTTTAAATCTTAACTTTCTTTACAAAATGAAATTCTGCACAACATGTATGACAAATCGCAATTTTATTAAACGTTTCTGTTACGGAATAAAATTTCAAATCTTTCAATTTCATTATTGTTAGCTTTTTTTTCCTTTTCGTCTGATTTTTTTTCCGATTTCTTTTATTAACAGCCTGATCTTCTCATTATATTGAAATGTGATTTTTAATCACTTGCACATTGCACATTTACATTCTCCCAATTTCACTTTATCAGATTAACACTATTTATCATCAATAACAACGGTTTTTCATCCAAAATAAATAATCTTCCATCTTTCATTGTGTCACAATTCGTCAGTGTTGCTGCAATCATTGTATTAAAATAATTATTCAAATTCATTCCTTTCTTAATAAAAAGAAGCCAGCAAATGGAACTGAAAGGAATTATCAAATTAAATCTCCTTGAAATCATTCAAAAATTAATGACGCCTAAATTAATTCTTGGTGAATTGAACATACATTCTTCTACTTGCGTTGTCTCCATTAATAAGTCATCATCCCATAACTTGTCAGCTCTATAATTTGTGACAACTTCAGCGGCTGAAATTGATGCTAGCGATTATTTGATTATAAGTAGAAACCTTTGAGATTTTAAATGATATACTCTTTTCACTGCAAAAGTGAATATCAGTGATATTCATATTGAAATCGAACAGAGCGTGTTTTATCAGAAGTCTAACTAAAGTGGTTAAAATGATGTAGAATACGAGATATATTTGTATCGGGATTTTCATTTTACTTAAAAAGTGATGCATACCTACTCCTGCTGCACCTGCTGCACCTGCTGGTCCTGCTTGTCCTCCTGCTCTTCCTCCTGCGTTTTGTGCCTGATTAGCACAATAAATGATGAAAACAAGATACACTATCAATTTTGACATATTTGAAATTAAATTTATTGCAACTTCAATATTTCCTGAAATGTAAGTTTTACTTCATTCATATATTTTAATTGCAGCAGTACTATTATTATAACTCATCGGATCTCAAACGTTTTAACTGGTTTTATGAAAAGCTGAGCTGAAGGCTTAAAGAGGATTTATCTTTCAATTTCCATATCATTCGTGATTTTATCACTATACGGTTTATGCTGTCATTCTTTTACATATAATACAGTTACTGTATTAGCCTGCTAATGTTTACAGCATGCATGAAACAGCTCAAATGCATTTCAGAGTAATCAAAAGACAATTCGATTATTCAACAATTAAAAGTTCAAGTTAACTGTCACCACATCATGCATTACGCTTGCTATTGACTTAAGAAATTCATTTTCATAACTCATTTTTAATACTAATGCAGTAGGAAGAAGTAAAACAAAGGATTATTAATACAACAAATTTATTTTAAATTTGATATCGCTCGGAGCATTATTTAACACTGGGAATTTTCACTGATAAAAATAATATCTAAAACTATTTTATTAAATATTGAAAAAAAGTGGGGAATGGTGGAACCAACTAGTGGTTGAAGACCTAAAAACAACACTTTTTATACTTCAAAAGCGGAATTCCTGAGTAGAACCTGTCTATCTGTTAGATGCATTCAAATACTTATGTTCTTACTGTGATTTTCATATTTCTCGAATTCAGTGGAAGAAAAACAAAGGATAGATTAAATCGGATAAATAATGAAAAGGATGGATTTTTATTCATCAGGTATTTTTATCAGAAGAAAACTTGATTTTAAGTTATTTTATTCTTTAGCAATTGTCACAATTTGTTATAAATCATATACAATGACTACTTTTGAAAATGTCTAACTTTTAAATGTCTAAATTCAAATTTTCTTTTTGCTTTGAAATATTTGCAATTTAGATATTAAAATTTGAACATGTGGAATTTTTTTTATTATATTTTTTGTTAATAACAAAAGCAATTTAACATCAAAAATTTCAAACAATGCATCAGTGTTTTCTAAGACGAAGAAAAAAATAAGTCAAAATCAAATCCAAAGTTTATTGACATTATATGAAATGTTAAAAACAAACTTCTACTATGTGAAGAGTAAAGATCATCATTCATCAGCTTTTGACCCACTGTCACGCGCTTTGTTGATGTCCACTAGATGAAAAGTTTAGATCATTTCTCAGAGTATTTTTAGGTCCGATTCGATTTGATTCAATTGACTTTTGCGCACTCAGTTCAAAAGGCAATGAATGGCGTAGTAGTAGCAATAAGTGCAGAACGAAAGTACGACAACTTAGCACATACTTTAATGGACTATGGGTATAATTCTGTATTTAAATTATTAATTTCTTCCCTATTGTTGTATAAATACGATATTGTAAACGAACAATAAATCTGTGCAGTTATGATAACAGCAAAATCATTTATGTAATACTTAAAAAACTTTCTTGATACTAATTGGAGAATATAGAGAAGTAAGAAAAAATTTGAATAATTTGGCTAACAACTGAAGAATAACAATCCACAATATGTTTAATCTTTGTTATTCATTTTTGTTTTAAAATAAATTTGCAAATAATCTGATTCTAATGTTTTCCTTTTTTTTTTCGTTTGATATACCTTTTTCCGACTTCTTTTATTAACAGCCTGATCTTCTCAATACATTTAAATGTGATTTTAATCATCTTTAATCATTTGCACATTTACAGTTTCCTAATTCCATTTCATCAAGTTAACAGTATTTGCCATCAATAACAACGGTTTTTCTTCCAAAATAAATAATCCTCCATGTTCCATTGTGTCACAATTCGTCAATGTTGCTGCAATCGTTGTATAGAGATTTTCTCTTTTTTAAATTATTTTTTAGTTATTAAATAATTTTTTTAATTATTTAAATTCATACTTTCCTCAATAAAAAGAAGTCTACGAATCGAACTAAAAGGAATTGTCAAATTCATCTTAAATCATCTTGAAATCACTCAAAATTAAACAATCTTAAGTTAATTCCTTATAAAATGAACATACATTCTTCTACTTGCGTTGTCTCCATTAATAAGTCATCATCCCATAACTTGTCAGCTCTATAATTTGTGACAACTTCAGCGGCTGAAATTGATGCTAGCGATTATTTGATTATAAGTAGAAACTTTTGAGATTTTAAATGATATACTCTTTTCACTGCAAAAGTGAATATCAGTGATTCATATTGAAATCGAACCCAGCGTGTGTTTTATTAGAAATCTAAGTGGTTAAAAGATGTAGAATACGATATATATATATATATATATATATTTCGAGATTTTCATTTTACTCAAAGAGAGATGCATACCTGCTCCTCCTGGTGCTACTGCCGCATTTTGTTGTCGATTAGCGCAAACGATGATGAAAGCAAGATACACTATTAATCTTGCCATTTTTATTGCAATTTTGATATTTGCTAAAGTGCAGACTTCAATTCATTAATATATTTTATTGATCAACTACGAGATTATCTCGACAAAATCCAATCCAAGACGATCTTACCGTTTTTATGAAATGCTCAACAGAAGGTTTAATTGATGATTTGTTTTTTAAATTTCATTCATTCTCGATTTTGACGCTATACAAAAAAGTTGAAATGATTTAATTAGCGATCATTTCTTTACACTATCATTCCTTTTGCATATAATCAAGCTGTTATGTTAGTCCGCTAGTGTTTGCAGTATGCATGAAACAACAGTAATTAAAAAAGAATTTAAATAATAAACAATTAATTGTTCAAGTTAACTGTCACTCTATCAAGCATTCCATTTGTTATTAATTTAACAGATTTTTTCCCATAACTCATTATGATTACAAAAAGAAGTAAATTTATTCTTGAATAGTACATTACTCTGAGTATGATTTAGCATTGAAATTATCACTGATAAAAGTAATACCTAAAAGTATTTTTTTAATTTTGAAGAAAAAATATGGAATGACTGGACTAAAGACAACACTTTTTATATTTCAATAGCAGAATTCCTGAATGGAAACCTGTCTGATATCTGTAGATGGATTCAAACTATGTTTTTGCCCCAATTTTACATCTCTCGAATTGATTGGAAGGAAAAAAAGAACAAATTGAATCGGATGAGAAATGAAATTTATGACCAACAAGTTATTTTGTTTTCCCAACGATTATCACAATTTATCAGTAATCTTTTGTTATAAATTATAAACAACAACTGTTTTTTGAAAATATTTAATTCTTAAATGCCTAAAATCAGATGTTATTTTTTCTAAATGTAATTTAAATTTCTTGCAAATTAAAAAAAAATTTCCTTGCAATTTAATTCTATAAAATAAATACGTGGAATTTTTTTTATAATTTAGGAAAGCAGTGCATGATTCATTTGAAATTAGTAGACAATTATTCACATCAGTTTTTTTAAATAAAAAATAAAACCAAAATCAAATCTCAAGTCTATAACGCATTTTCATGTTACCTTTATAAACATCAATTTCAACTAATAAATGATGGCAGTTCAAACTTTCAATTTCATTTCATCATTTTTTTTTTAAACAATTTTATTATCCGTATCAATTTTACAGTGAAAAAGTACATTTCGCCATACACATTTTATCACAAATTGACATCATTATGTTGACACAACTATTTCATCATCAGGGAAGTAAAATTCAGCTTCCCATCTCCCCACAAATTATTTAAATCTTTCAAACTTTTGACAGCAACATAACATCCACCAATTAGTATATATCTATATGAGTTTTAAATAATACTCATAAAAATTATTCATTCATATCCACAAAATTTTTCAATCTCGATTATATTTTAGTGTTTCAGATATAACTTATTTCAAATGAATCTATTAACGTGTGCTATCATTTTTATTTGTATTGGTTTCATTTTTGGAGAAAAAGAAACCGATGCTAATGATAAAATCATCACTGAGACCGAAACTGATGGAAGTAAAAATTTTCTATCATATAAAAATAACTTCATTCAATAATTTGTGTTTTATGTGAATAAACAATTTCAGTCAACATTTAATTTGTTAATTTTCGACGAAATTACAATATGCTGTAGTAATATCAATGATCTGCTTTATTATAGAATTAATTAAAAGTACATAAAATCTGATTATAGATTTGGGATGAATATGCAAATAAATCAAAATGTATTATTAAAATGGATTAAATCAAAGTCATTCTAAATTACATTATGCATTTATTATTTATTACAGAAAAATGATCGAAAATATTGATAAAAAAATGAAATTTTAAGAATGTGAAGATAAATGGAAAGATTGCAGTCAGGTGATGCTACACGGTGATTGCTTTCGATTTCCGCATTATGCAGTAAGATTCTGCGCTAAATCTTGCAAAAAATGCAAATAACCAGGTAGAATTTTTTTTTTTTTTGATCTGTGAAATTTGCTTAATGTTAAAATTAAGCAAATTTTACAAATTTTAATCAGTTTCAATTTAATTAGTATAAATTTTGGTATAAAAATCATATTTGATTAGAAAAAAAAATCTTTCTGCTGAAAGAGAATGCATTACTAAGAAAACAACAATCATTAATTTATTTGCATTTATTGTTTACCATTATTTATTTATTAGCGCTTAAATTGATAAAAGACAAAAGAAGTTTTGTTCTATGCTTTCTTGCCATAAGATAATTTTATTAGAAATTACCATTATTACAGTATTACTGTAATGCGTTTAATGCGACGAAGAAATAAGCAATATGAGCAATAAACAAATTCACTCGTCATTTTCATGAATGATTGAATGATTTTTTTCAAAATTTGATCATTTTATTGTAAAAGTGTAGAAATGAAATAAACGCAAAATTTGTATTAAAAGAAAATAAATGTCTTCAATAAGATTTGTTGTATTTCATTCCATAATTTCAAATATTTTTGGTCGAAATGCTAAATGTTCAAATTTGCGACTTTCGTCCACACATACACACACACATACATACACACACACTCCAAATTTGTGAATTGAATTTGAACCGCTAAAATGAAGTGATGAAAAAATATGGAATTTATTCGAATTTCAAAAAAAAAATTCCTTTCTTTTAAAATTTTGTTATTATAAAAATTTTTTATTACTTACGAAAACATAAAAAGCAATATTGAATGTTATTTATTATTTCCATCAAATATTACTTTACGTAATAAATTTCTCACATTCTTCAAAATTAAGCATAAAATTTTTCACAATTAAGTATAAACTTTTCTATGCAATTATTGTTTACTCTAAACATTTCAATTTTTGCTCATAAAACTCCTTTTCCTTGTGAAATTCATATATCACTTGATCTTTCGCCGTGAAGTGAAATTGATGAGACCAGATATGAAAAGAAATATTTTTTTCTGTAAGCCTAATTTAAATTATCAGTGATAGCTTCATCAATGTCTAAACTTTAACTGACAATAATGACGTTATCACTATGGTTTATTGATACCTGACGAGATTTTCACGATAACGAGTGATAAAAGAACACAATCATTCGTAGCATGCGTCTACATAACATATACATCATGACTTTTTTTATTTTTGTTTTGTTTCTAGGATCTTTAGCAGAATAAATTTATTTTATTTCTTTTTTTTTTAAAAAAAAATAAAAATCCAGTTTTGTGAAAATTACTTAATATGTTTTGCATTATAAAAATAAGAAAATTTCAATTTTATTATGCAATTATTCAATTAAGTAAACTCATTAATTAATTAGCAAATTATTTTCATGCTCAAAGGAAATTTCAAATATTTATCAATTTCAGTCTAACAGGCTTGAATTTTTTTGACTGAATTACAGAGCTGCTTTAATTTCATTAAATTAAATTTATAATGGAGAAAAAAGGCACTGCAAGATTATTCAAATTATATCAAATCAATGTTCTAATATTAAGTATAATTAGATTGATTGTTAATTTTTTATCATTAATAAACACAAATAACATGAATGCCATAAAAATCACAAGCCAAAATATGCAATATAACATTCTTTAAAAAGAAATCAGGTTACAATACAAAATGAAAATGAATATACAATATTCGCAGTAATTAAACACAATTATCATATTTTGCTGTGAAACTTTTAAAATCAAAAAAAAAAAAGATAATAATACAACTAGCAAATTAGCATAAGTGATCAGTTGAACAATGAAATCTATTAATCAAACAGATGAAGTTTTTGAAAAATTGTAATCAATGCAATATAATTATTTTCAAATAACTAAAATTAATGCAATAAAAATTAATGAAATATAATTATTTTCAAATAACTGAAAGAACTGAGACATATGTTATAAAATTTTTTTTAATGCAATTGATAAACATATTGATTTTGGCAAAAAAATTTCTTTTAAAGTGATAAACTAATTGATGAATAACATTTTTAATTTAATACATTGCTTGCATTGCATTTCTGCTTTCTCTAAGACTATGTCTTTACCGTGAAACACAAAATAACTCTTACAATGTCGGTCCTCGTTTTATTAAAACTCAGATTTGCCAATTTCAAAAGATAGATGGCACTCTTCACATCGAGATTAGAATTAGTAGAAAATCTGTCGTCCGAAGATTTTTTGCACTTATTAAGCAGAATCGTTCAATTGGTTTTCATACCATTATGGAACGAAATGCACAACTAACAGAATTCTTAGCAAATAAAGAAATATTTAAAAAAAAAAGAAGCCATATCAAGAGTTTCATAGGATGATACAGTTTATGAAAGAATGATTGAGATAACCAAAAAGACAATGAGGAAAGCCATTGGTAGAAAGTTGTTATGAGAACATGAATTGATAACACTAATAGTAGAAAGAGATTACGTCCACTGACTTACGTAAATTTTGAAGACTGTTTAATCATACGCTGAACTGATTTCGTTTCACCTAACGCTTCCCTCAATGTTCCAATCTTTAACGACAATGACCCCCGCAGAATTTTCATCACACAAACCAAATAACAAAGAGAAACTTATTAAGTACTGATCAAACATCCTTGGAATACAAGGAAAAATAAGTATTTGACCAGACTTCGAGAAAGAACTCAAAGAGAACATTCTTCTGTAGTAACAAGAGCTCTCCGGGAGGGAGAGATTGTGCAATGAACTGAAAATTCCGCGTTCCATGTGTGTCTTTTGTTAGAGACCAAATCGATTTGCAATGACGAATTGAATTGTTCCAGAAGTCTTTTGATCTGACAGTCACACTTATAAGCAACTGACATTATATGCAATGTTAAGAGCGAACTTCTACTATGTAAAGAGTAAAGATCGTTCAATCGATAATGACAGCTCCTTATTCACTGTCACGCGTTTTGTCATAAGCCCAATGTCCACTAAACGAAATGTTAAATCACTCACTCCTTGGATTAGCTTTTGCTCATTCAGTTCAGTTTATTTGAGTTCAAAAGGCAATAGCGCAGTAGTAGAAATTAGGTGCAGAGAGAAAGTACGTCATGGCATCACGCATTTGACGGACTATTGATATTATTCTATATTTAATTTATTCCTTACTGTTATTGTACAAATACGATATTGCAAAAAACAATGAAGCTGTTAGTGGACGTTCTGTATTTACAGCAATATATAGGTACTACTTTGTTGACGCTAACTGGAGAATATAGGGAAATAGTGAAAATATGAAAGAAAAACGTTAATTTAGAAGCTGTTGTTATTCTTTTGTGTTGTAAACAAATTTTCAAATCTAATTTTATCAGTTCTAGTGTTCCTCTTTTTTCGTTTGGTTTTCCTTTTTCGGATTTCCTTTGTTAACAACTCGATGTTCTCAATTTATTGAAATGTGATCGTCAGTCACTTGCACATTACACATTTACAGTTTCCTAATTTCATTTCATCAGGTTAGCAGTGTTTGTTATCAATAACAACGGTTTTTCTTCCAAAATAAATAATCCTCCATTTTCCATTGTGTCACAATTCGTCAATGTTGCTGCAATCATTGTATTAAAATAATTATTCAAATTCATTCCTTTCTTAATAAGAAGAAGCCAACGAATGGAACTAAAAGGATTTATCAAATTAAATCTCCTTGAAATCACTTAAAAGATAGTGTCTAAGTTAATTGTTTGTGAAATGAACATACATTCCTCCACTTGTGTTGCTTTCATTAATAAGCCATCAGCCCATAATTTGTCAGTTTTATAGTCTGTGATAACATCAGCGACTGAAATTGACGCCATGGATTATTTGATTAAGCTTACAAAACAAGCAAAACCTTCGAGATTTAAAAAAAAAAATGATGTGCTGTTTTCATTGCAAAAGTGAATATTAGTGATAATCGAATTAAATCTAACGCTACTTGTTTTATCAGAAATTAGGCTAAAGTGGTTAAAATAATTTAGAATGCAGTGTAAATGTCGAGAATTTCATTTTACTTAAAGAGAGATGCATACCTACTCCTCCTGGTACTACTGCTCCGTTTTGCTGTCGATTACAACAAATGATGAAAGCAAGATACACTATCAATTTTGCCATTTTTGAAGTTAGTTTTACTGCAATTTCAATATTTCCTAAAGGGTAGACCTAATTGATCAAACTATGATATTATTTCGGAGCAATCGAAAGGTTTTAATTGTTTTATGAAATGTTCAACAAAAGATTTAATTGATGATTTATCTTTCAGTTTTAATATCATTCTTGATTTTGTTGTTGTACGGGAGACTTGAAATGATTCAGTAGCGATTATACGCTATGATGAATTTATGTAGAATGCAGTTACTGTATTAGTCCGCTAATACTTGCAGCATGCATGAATGCATTTACATGCATTCAGAATGACAACAATCAAAAAAAGAATTTGATTAATTTTTCAGATTAACTTGTTATCACTTGCTATTATTAACAATTTATCCTCATAGCTCATTTTTATTAATACAGTAAATTTGAAGTAAAACAAAGAATTATTAATACAACAAATTTATTTTAAATTTGATATCGCTCTGAGCATTATTTAACACAGGGAATTTTCACTAATAGAAATAATATCTAAAACTATTTTCTTAAATATTGAAAAAAAAAGGTGAAGAATGGTGGAACCGACTAGTGGTTGAAGACCTAAAAACAGCACTTTTTATACTTCAAAAGCGGAATTCCTGAGTAGAACCTGTCTGATATCTGTTAGATGCATTCAAACTACTTATGTTTTTGCTGTGATTTTCATATTTCTCGAATTCAGAGGAAGAAAAACAAAGGATAGATTAAATCGGATAAATAATGAAAAGAATGGATTTTTAATCATCAGGTTTTTTTTTTATCAGAAAAAAAGCTTGATTTTAATTTACTCTCTCTTCAGGAATTGTCACAATTTATTATAAATTATATATAACGATTATCTGTGAAAAATGTTTAACTTTTAAATGCCTAAATTCATTTTTTTTCTGAAATCTATGCAATAAGTATTATAATTAGAACATGTGGAATTTATTTTATTTTATTTTTCGTTAATTACAAAAGCAAACTAACATCAATAATTCATGTGATAATACTTAAATAATACATCAATGTTTTCTAAAATGAAAAAAAGAAACAAATGAATCAAAATAAAAACCAATGTTTATAATACCAGATTAAAATTATTGTATTTCGGATAATATTCATGTTGCTTTTACAAACATTTATTCATTTCAACTAATAAACAATGGGTATTTCAATCTTCAATTTTATTTTATCATTTTTTTTTAAACAATTTTTTTATCCGTATCAATTTTACAAATGAAAAACATTTTGTAACATACTGATATTATTATGTTTACACAATTATTTTATCACCAATGAAGTACAGTTCAGAATTATTTAAAAGTTTTCAAACTTCTAAACGGCAGCATAACATTTCAAATGAAATTTGCTATGTTACATTAATTTACAAAAAGTGCTGCTTATCATTTGTACTGTTTACCAATTAGTATATACCTCTATGAGTTTTAAATAATAGTTATAAAAATTACTTATTCATATCAACGAAAACTTTTATTTTATTTTATTTTAATGTTTTCATTTCAGATAGAACTTATTTCAAATGAATCTCTCCACGTATATTATCATTTTCATTTGTATTGGTTTGATTTTTGGAAAAAAAGAAACCCCCAAAAAAGGAATCAAAGGACTCACTAGCCGTAAATATCCCAACAAAAAAAAACCTACACCCAAACAAAGTAAAAATTTTTTATAATATGATAATAATTTCATTTACTAATTTGTATACAAAAAAAAAAAAACAGTGAAAAGAATTATGGTGATGTATTTTTATTTGAATTTTAAATAAACTAAGATCAAATAGAATTAGAATAAATTTTGAGATGAATATGCAAATACGGCAAAATATAGCATTGGAATAGATTAAAATCAAAAATTTTCTAAATTGTTCGTTGTAAATATAAAAAAAAAGCAATAAGTGTAAAAAATAAAAAAAATAAATAAATAAAATAAAAAAAAAAATTGAAAATATTAACAAAAAGAAAATGATTTTTTTAGAATGCAAAGATAAATGGAAAGATTGCAGTCAGGTGATGCTATACGGTGATTGCTTCCGATTTCCGCATTATGCAGTAAGATTTTGCGCTAAATCTTGCAAAAGATGCAAATAACCAGGTAGAATTTTTTTTTCTGATCTAAATAAATGTTAAAATTAAGCAAATTTTACAAATTTTAATCAGTTTCAATTTAATAGTATAAATTTTGGTATAAAATTCAATTTAATTGGTGTAAAAATCATATTTGATCTAAAAAAAAAATCTTTCTGCTGAAAGAGAATGCATTACTAAGAAAACAACAATCATTAATTTATTTGCATTTGTTGTTTACCATTATTTATTTATTAGCTTAAATTGATAAAAGACAAAAGAAGTTTTGTTCTATGCTTTTTTGCCATAAGATAATTTTATTAGAAATTAAGGATAGAAAAAAAAAAAGATTATGGTTTCATTGGAAATAATCAAATAGCATTATTACAGTATTACTGCAATGCGTTTAATGCGACAAAGAAATAAACAATATGAGCAAAAAGCAAATTCACTCGTCATTTTCATGAATGATTGAATGATTTTTTTCAAAATTTGATCATTTTATTGTAAAAGTGTAGAAATGAAATAAACGCATAATTTGTATTAAAAAAAAATTAAAAAAAAATTAAATGTTTTCAATAAGATTTTTATATTTCATTTCATCATTTCAAATATTTTTGGTCAAAATGCTATCAGTATTAAATGTTTATATTTGCGGATTTTCGATGACACATACACACACATACAATTCAAATTTGTCAATCGAATTCGGTTAACTGCTAAAATGATTCCGTAGAAAAAATATTGCATTTATTTGAAATTTAAAAAAAAAAAATTTCTAAATTTATTTAAAATGAAAATTTGCATATGAAATTTTTTTTTATTTATGGAAACATAAAAAATAATATTTCAAGCATTTTCGATCATTTTTCAGTATAAATTGTTTGAGAGACGGCTTAGTTCGTCTTTATTTACAATGCTCGTTGAGTTTTATTTATTGTTTCCATCAAATATCACAATTTACGTAAGAAATTTTTCATTCTCTTCGAGAATTAAGCATAAAAAATTTCAGAATTACGTATAAACTTTTTTATGCAATCATTGTTTACTCTAAACATTTCTAATTGTACACAAAAAGACTTCCCTACTTCTTTATGAAATTCATATATGCCTTAAAAATTTCATGAAAAAAAGCAAGAATTGAATGAAGACCTCAACAATTTACAAATCTGATATATGCAAAATGAAAATAAAATTCATTATTGAAAATGAAATTTAACATTTTAAAATTAGTTTCATTTTTCATTTGATATTATAATGCATTTCATCCTGACGTAAAATGAAAAAAACTAAAATAAGGTAACAAAAATTATTTAACTGATTCGAGAAATAGAAAATCACTAGTTGAAATCATTGACTGAAATTATATTTGAAGCTATAAGGTTTTTTATTAAAGATATATTTTAAACTTAACAAATAATAAAATTTGAAATCATTTAATTAAAATTGCATTCATCATTATTTGTCAGTTCATTTTCTCATCATTTCTACTTTTTTTTTTTTTGCTTAAATTTTCTAACAAAGTTTAAAAAAATCTAAAAAATTGTGAACGTCCAATTGTTCTTCCAAAATGCTATCAGTGCTTGTAGTATAGCTTAGGATTCTCAAGATTTATAAAAAAAAAAATTAAAATTAGGGATAATTGATCGATTGATCTTTTGAAATAAACTGTGAAATAAAATTGTTCAGACCGGATACAGCATGAAATATTCGTTATCATTTCAATAAGAATTTCTTTTTTTTTTTTTCAGTTATTCAATTTGAAATATTTTGAAATGAAATTAAAGGAAATTTTAAAAATTATCAAAAAAAAAAATGCAAAATTTTAGGAAGCGCTATTTGCATGTTTACTCATTTTTGCTTCAATTGCAACATGTATGAAGAAAACGAAAAATAAACCAAAACCACAGGAAAGCATTGTGCTTGGAACAACTAGTTTGTTATTTTTTTCTCTCTCTCTCTTTCTCTCTCTCTCCCTCTGTTTGTTTGTTTACTCTTCTCTCTTCTAAAAATTTTTTAATATTTTCTAAAAATTTTTTAATAAATAAATGAAAGTTATATTTATTCAACTTTATGCCTAAATTCTTTAGCAATAAATAGAATCACAATTTTTTTTTAAGCCAATTATTATTATTATTATCATTTGGAAATGATAAAAAATATGAAACAACAAATACTAAATCCTTAACTATAGCTAATAATTTGATAATTTCAAAGACTTCAACAATATCATAAAAATTATTAATTATTTAAGAGATTTTATGAAATAAAGACAAAAATGAATTAATTGCATTTTATATATAAATTAAAGTTTGTTTAACTATAAGTTTTTAGAATGATCGAAAAATTGCAATGTTCTGTTAACCAATTTAACCAATTTATTTTGAAATGTTGTTAAATTGCAAATTTTAAACTTTTAATTTAATTTTTAATTTTTTATATGATGTAATAATTTAATAAGATTTTTCACTATCTAATTATTTTATATATAATTTCACTTTCTTAGAAACTAATAATATTATAAATCTCTTCTAGTTGCTGATTTTTAATAATAATTAATTTACAGAAGCTGCAAGTGTTAATTGTAAATCTTGATGTTTTACTTTAATTTCACGAATTATTTTTCTTTTTTGTTTCTTTTTTTTTAAATTATTAAATATAATTAATGATTTATTTTTTCAGTTGACACAAAAAATGATGTAAGTTTTACCGTTTTATGAAATATTTTCAGTCAAAAAAGAATGCAATAAAAAATTTAGGATAATCAGGTAGCCGGGATAGAGGTGATAGGTGGTGGTGATTAGCTATGAATTGATATGGAATATAAAAGCTTACCTAATTTTTATTAACAATATCAACAACAATTACAAAAATATTAAATAACAATGACAAAAACAATAACTAATACTATAATTA